GGTAAATATTTTTTTATTATTATCACACTGGCCGATTCCCACCAAGGCAGGGTGGCCCGAAAAAGAAAAACTTTCACCATCATTCACTCCATCACTGTCTTGCCAGAAGGGTGCTTTACACTACAGTTTTTAAACTGCAACATTAACACCCCTCCTTCAGAGTGCAGGCACTGTACTTCCCATCTCCAGGACTCAAGTCCGGCCTGCCAGTTTTCCTGAACCCCTTCATAAATGTTACTTTGCTCACACTCCAACAGCACGTCAAGTATTAAAAACCATTTGTCTCCATTCACTCCTATCAAACAAGCTCACGCATGCCTGCTGGAAGTCCAAGCCCCTCACACACAAAACCTCCTTTACCCCCTCCCTCCAACCTTTCCTAGGCAGACCCCTACCCCGCCTTCCTTCCACTACAGACTGATACACTCTTGAAGTTATTCTGTTTTGCTCCATTCTCTCCACATGTCCGAACCACCTCAACAACCCTTCCTCAGCCCTCTGAACAACAGTTTTGGTAATCCCGCACCTCCTCCTAACTTCTAAACTATGAATTCTCTGCATTATATTCACACCACACATTGCTCTCAGACATGACATCTCCACTGCCTCCAGCCTTCTCCTCGCTGCAACATTCATCACCCATGCTTCACACCCATATAATCTTTTTATCCTCATAACCTTACTCTTTCCTGTATTCACTTTCAATTTTCTTCTTTTGCACACCCTACCAAATTCATCCACCAATCTCTGCAACTTCTCTTCAGAATCTCCCAAGAGCACAGTGTCATCAGCAAAGAGCAACTGTGACAACTCCCACTTTATGTGCGATTCTTTATCTTTTAACTCCACGCCTCTTGCCAAGACCCTCGCATTTACTTCTCTTACAACCCCATCTATAAATATATTAAACAACCACGGTGACATCACACATCCTTGTCTAAGGCCTACTTTTACTGGGAAATAATTTCCCTCTTTCCTACATACTCTAACTTGAGCCTCATTATCCTCGTAAAAACTCTTCACTGCTTTCAGTAACCTACCTCCTACACCATACACCTGCAAAATCTGCCACATTGCCCCCCTATCCACCCTGTCATATGCCTTTTCCAAATCCATAAATGCCACAAAGATCTCTTTAGCCTTATCTAAATACTGTTCACTTATATGTTTCACTGTAAACACCTGATCCACACACCCCCTACCTTTCCTAAAGCCTCCTTGTTCATCTGCTATCCTATTCTCCGCCTTACTCTTAATTCTTTCAATAATAACTCTACCATACACTTTGCCAGGTATACTCAACAGACTTTTTTTTTTTTTTTTTTCAACAAGTTGGCCGTCTCCCACCGAGGCAGGGTGACCCAAAAAAGAAAGAAAATCCCCAAAAAGAAAATACTTTCATCATCATTCAACACTTTCACCACACTCGCACATTATCACTGTTTTTGCAGAGGTGCTCAGAATACAACAGTCTAGAAGCATACACATATAAAGATACACAACATATCCCTCCAAACTGCCAATATCCCAAACCCCTCCTTTAAAGTGCAGGCATTGTACTTCCCATTTCCAGGACTCAAGTCTGACTATATGAAAATAACCGGTTTCCCTGAATCTCTTCACTAAATATTACCCTGCTCACACTCCAACAGATCGTCAGGTCCCAAGTACCATTCGTCTCCATTCACTCCTATCTAACATGCTCACGCACGCTTGCTGGAAGTCCAAGCCCCTTACCCACAAAACCTCCTTTACCCCCTCTCTCCAACCCTTTCGAGGACTTTCAACAGACTTATCCCCCTATAATTTTTGCACTCTCTTTTGTCCCCTTTGCCTTTATACAAAGGAACTATGCATGCTCTCTGCCAATCCCTAGGTACCTTACCCTCTTCCATACATTTATTAAATAATTGCACCAACCACTCCAAAACTATATTCCCACCTGCTTTTAACATTTCTATCTTTATCCCATCATCAGAGTACAAAACAAATACCTTCCACAAAATAGAGCGAAAAACCAATGTCAAAGACCTGGGAGTGATCATGTCAGAGGATCTCACCTTCAAGGACCATAACATTGTATCAATTGCATCTGCTAGAAAAATGACAGGATGGATAATGAGAACCTTCAAAACTAGGGATGCCAAGCCCATGATGACACTCTTCAGGTCACTTGTTCTATCTAGGCTGGAATATTGCTGCACACTAACAGCACTTTTCAAGGCAGGTGAAATTGCTGACCTAGAAAATGTACAGAGAACTTTCATGGCATGCATAACGGAGATAAAACACATCAATTACTGAAAGCGCTTGACGTTCCTGAACCTGTACTCCCTGGAACGTAGGTGGGAGAGATACATGATTATATACACCTGGAAAATCCTAGAGGGACTAGTACTGAACTTGCACATGAAAATCACTCACAATGAAAGCAAAAGACTCGGCAGACGATACAACATCCCCCCCAATGAAAAGCAGGAGTGTCACTAGCACGTTAAGAGACAATACAATAAGTGTCAGGGGCCAGAGACTGTTCAACTGCCTCCCAGCATACATAAGGGGGATTACCAATAAACCCCTGGCTGTCTTCAAGCTGGCACTGGACAAGCACCTAAAGTTGGTACCTGACCAGCCGGGCTGTGGCTCATACGTTGAACTGTGTGCAGCCAGCAGTAACAGCCTGGTTGATCAGGCTCTGATCCACCAGGAGGCCTGGTCACAGACCGGGCCGTGGGGGCATTGACCCCCAGAACTCTCTCCAGGTAAACGTAAGGCGAGGTTCCACTGTACATGCAAATTTGCATACAAGACAAACTTTTATTTCAACATCTGTAACTTGAATTCAGTCATGTGGAAACATGTACAGTACAAGAAAGTGAAAGGCCTCTTTATAAAATTAAATACACTTTATAAAACCTCAAAGTCACCATTATATCTACCAATTTTAAAATTATTGAATTTTTTTTTTAAAGTGGACACTATACAACCTCCACCATACATCCTAACATTGGTCTAGTTATTGTTGTGAACAGCTTTCTTAGCATTTCTCTATATTTAAGGTCTATTTTCAAGTTGGCCAATGTCACATGAATTTCTATTTCATTAGTACAATCTTCCAGTAACAATGTTTTGCTGGAGTCCTAGGACCCCTCTCATTGTCTGAGGCAATCATGTTTTGAGGCTAGAGTGCCATCTATATGGCACAAGAACCAGAAGATTTATTCTACAGTCAGTATTAGTTCCAACACATTCAGCAAACAGTTTCACTGTGCTGACTTTATCGCTTCACAGCCTGATAACACAGATCTAGTTTGAAAATGCTTAAGAAATCCCAATTAATTTAAGATCACTGAACTAGTGTAAAAAATTAATGCATACTTTCAGTTGTACTATTTTCATTTAGCTAACTCTTTTCTTTGTATTAATGCATACTTAAAATTGTACTATTGTTCACTTAGCTACCTCACTTTCATACACTAAAAAAAAAAAAAACTATGTCAAGTTCTTAAGTAGTCTGTAAGTATTAGGATTAGTCTGCCTGAAACACACTGCATGCTAGTGGCTTTCTTTTGTGCTTAGCTACTTTATTACATGTAAACTACATTTGGTATACTGAAGAAATAAATAAAGTTCATTTGATTATCATCCTTGTCAAGGTGTATTGTGCCCCTTGTAGTCGAGTGCCATCTACTAGTAGGTTGAAGAAATTTTCTTAAAGGCTTTATATGTTTCATCACTTCTATTAATTTAAATTTAAGAAGCTAAATATGACTCATCTATCAATACAATATAAAAATAAATTCTTATTAATTTAAAATTAACAATACTGTAATGAGGAATTTGTGTTCCATAGTCCCTAAACTCTTGACATATATTATTCAGTTTATCTTGGAGCGTGCAGTTGGTAATGAGATAATGTTTACTTTTAAAGGCATTTTTCTTAGGGTGTAACTTTAACATTGACCTTAAAGTATGAAAACCAGTATAAACCTTTCAAAACATTAAAAATGTTTTGAATCTCTGCTCTTGAAAGAAAATGATTCCACTGACTGAATCAAAACATATTCATCAACATGTACCACATAAGACTAATTAAGTTTTACTATAATCATTATGAAACTATTATTGCACATGACAAAGCAAACAAATGACTGTCAGTAACAAGTGGATTTTGGCCAGTAATTAAATACTGGTGATACAAGCACTTCACTACCATACAGTATTTGGTACTGGCATTGTGTATATATGACACAATTAGACAAGAGTAATAAAAATGACAGCAAAAAGCAGAAAAGTGACCGAATCCCATTAGAATATTATGAAAAATTAGAAATAAATCTGATGTGTTTGATAAAAGTGCACGCCTTGGCATCACATCCGAAATTTAGAAAAACAGATGAATGCATTTAAATCACTTCCAGAAATAGTTATTGAATAATTCAGTTGTGCAATTAGCTCTGCTACAGTGTGCACTGTACAAAACTATCTAAGATTTTATGAAACATGGTGTGATATATATATTACTGTATGTGCAATATTCAGTTGTAAACTACTACTTCAATATAAGGTGTAAGCACAAGTTACTAAAGTACTTGTTATCAAATTATATATTACTGCATAATGTGTCATGTCTACAATATATGTGTTGATGCTAGCTTGCTGGTAACTAATGCTGTGCCCTATATGTCCAAATCACACTCATTATTATTTGAAAAAAGTGTATCGTTGTATCATATCAATGACAAGTGTCATATTTATTTACTTTTGCTAATTTATAAGAATTAAATTTTTGTTGATTTTTGACATATATGATAAATGAAATACTGTATTACAAAAAGTATATACCAATAGTATATTATATGGGTTTATTGTATATTCAATATATTACAGTATGAGCGTGACATGGTGTAGTGACCACAAGTTAATGTGGTCAGGTTTGGTGGTATGGGTGTGCAGGTGGTGGCAGCGCCCTGACCACGCCTATTTTCTCGCATACTCACCTTAACACGTTGTAGGTCTATGGGACTCATAATGGATCCTTGGAAGAACTCTACAGTGGTGAAGTGTCGCTTAAATAATCCTTCAAGCTCCAGATCCGGCGGCTTTCTGCATACAAAAGTTTAAACAAAATAATATACAAAAGATATTTACAAAAACAGTGAGAATAAAATAAATTAGAAAATGAGAAAAGATGGAAATAGGCACTCCACGACTGGTCATGTACACTTGCAAGTCAAGCTGGGAGTCCACTGCCCAATTACACTTTGGCCACAGCCATAGAAAAATAGGAAAAAAGAGAAGAAAGCTGTAAGATAAACAGAAGAGAGGAAACCTCTTGCATCCTTCATGGCTGTCAAACTGAGTAGCATCAGAGTAACTCAGTATCAGTTGAGTATGTGAGTTGGTGCAGCATGGTTGGTACAGTGATACACATTGTTGGGTGGGGCAGGGGCAGGGGCCTCCCAACTGACGACTGTGGGTGCCACACTACCCCAACTAAGAGGCCGACATGCAAAGGCCCAAGGACGATGCTGTGGGTCAGGAGGGCACACCTGTGGTCAGTGTTAGCAGGCACCAAGACCAACACATGTCAGAGTCTACCACTGCAACAAACCACTGCATCTTACTGATATAATCAGCATCAGTAAGATACTGTTAATAACTTATTAGCAGTTGTTTTTTGCTTAGTTGTTCATGTGTAGGTAACCTGGGTAGGCATGTCTCACCATCCACTAATTGATAACCATCTATCACTAAGCTCAAACAAACCTGAACATGGTCACAGGTGGGAAATAACAAGGGATGGAGACACCAGCCTCATGTGAATGAGATGTTGAACTAGAGACTCGTCAGAATGTTGTTTTGTGTTAGTATACAGTGAGCAGTAGTATATCTCTGGTAGTACATGAGCTAGATGTTACACAGGAAGACACAGTCACCAGCTCCCGCTCAGCCAGTTCTCAGGCTACATGGGGAAAGGGGGGGGGGACATTTACCTTCACACGGGCCAAGTCCACTGCACTCATTATGCTCCCCTGATAGAAGCTTACTGTTGTTGAGTGCCGCTTCAAAAGCCCTTCCAATTCCAGGTCCGGCTCTTTTCTGTTCAAAACAAGGGTCAGAATACTGAACTCCCACATCCCAGGGGTAAATAACAATACGTACTGAGCTCCCACATACTAAGGAGGATGTATAACAGCAAGTGTAAGGAAAGGAAAGGCTATGCAGTTGTGATGGCAGTGATGCTGGTGGTTAAAAGCAGTTTCATTGGAGAGGGAAACAAGCTCAAGCTGCTGCTAAAATGGGAGGGATTAGTTTTTTGCAGTTAATACTACAGTGGCTGTTAGCTGGATAGCTGACTGACTGCTGGCTAGCTGGATTATCTTTAAAATCCCACACTCAGCTAAAATAATTTGTGTAATGCAACGAGTATCATTTCATGATGACCTTGACTGAATATTAAGATATAAAAATCAAACAAACAAAAAATAATTATAATGTAGTGGACCATTTTCTTGTTATAAATAATGTATATAATTAATAATTATATATAAAAATTAAAATACTTATTAAACATTTTTCTACAATATACAGTAATATCTATTATTAGAAACTCCGTTATTAAGATTTCTACCAAAAAATAGAAAATAAATACAGCGATTAAATTCAGAAACTTCTCAAAATCTGACTTTACCAAATGTGGAAAAAATCTCCAAAATTCTAAATTCAGAATTTTCTCCAAAACTCAGAATTTTAATTTAGAAAACCTATTCAGTTCTACATCCTTCTCAAAACATAAATGTCATCCATGAAATTTAATTCAGAATGTCGGAAATTATTTTACTAAAAGTGAAAATTCAGAATTTCAATTCAGAATTTCTTTCCTAATTTGGAATATTTTCCTGAATATGAGAGAGCCTTCTAATTTCTATATATAAACTGTATTTGGTATTTCTATAGTTTGGATACCAATCCATACATTATTGTGAATAAGAGATATTACTGTACTATATATAGTGCATAACATATACATACTGTATACATACATTATATATTATATATATAATATATATATATATATATATATATATATATATATATATATATATATATATATATAATATATATATATATATATAACAGTATCTACTGTATACAGCATATATAATATTTTCTTTATCTTTCTGAATATCTATGTCTAACAAAGCACTAATACCTTGGGCTACGGTACTTAGGAGCTTATTTATATTTAAGTTATTGAATAGTTCTACATTTTCAATTTCTAAAGATCAGTACAATTATGTATTAGCAACTTCTAAATTAGCTCTCTAAAAGTTATAAGGGATTCTCATAAATGGCATATTGCAAAGCACTGTATTATGCTAAATACAAGGTTCATTTAATGATGTACAGTTTTCTAAATAATTTTCAGCATTTTTTCTCTGTACGAAAGCCTAACCCATCTCAGCATGACTATAAATGCAAGCACACCATATAACACAGTTAAGATGAATATGATTTGTTTTTTGTATACTAAGAGCACACAATATTACAAGCAAATAATCTGGGATTACTGAAACAGAATTTTCACTTTAGAAAAACAAAAGTCACAATACTTATAGTCGTTGGGACAATTCACAACAAACCCACAATTTGAAGAGAAAACACCATACAATATTTCATGCTGGTCTAGACCATTACCATGATAATTATCAAGGACCAGCCAAGATATTGCTTAAATTTTCTTTTTCAAACTATGGGTTAGCTGTGAACTGGATTAGAATAACATATAATTTTTTCATAAAAGCTAACAAAATATTTTAGCAATGATAAAAATGTGATTAAGATTTATAAAATCCATGTTACTGTCTGTATATGTTTACAACTACAAGTGAGATGCATAATGACATATGCTCGAGACAAACAAATATTCAGTGTGAGAACCAGTAATAAGAAATAATTTCAATCACACTGTAATAGGTTATGCAGGAAAGCACTGACATATCAGAATGTTCCGATGCAGTCACTGAAGGCATACTTATACCGTAAAGGAATCGCACTTCAAGAAATTTTCAAGAGATGCAGTATCAGAAATCAGAAAATATTTATTTATGCCTAGAAGTGTATGAAATCTTCTGGGAAAAGGTTCTGAGAAACTAAACCTAAAAGTATATTATATTTATTAGTATCTTCCTATGCAACACTCAAAAACACAAAAAAATAAGTTTATGCAAATGAATGGTGTGATACAGTTGAAAAAGCATCACTTCTGTCAGAACAGATAAACTGTTAAAAAAAAAAACTCAGTTTATATCATCATGTGTTTATAGTTTTCTCTCTCTCACACACACACACATAAGTACGTGTGTGTGTGTGTGTGTGTGTGTGTGTGTGTGTGTGTGTGTGTGTGTGTGTGTGTGTGTGTGTGTGTGTGTGTGTGTGTGTGTGTGTGTGTATATATATATATATATATATATCTATATATATATGTCGTGCCGAATAGGCAGAATTTGCGATCTTGGCTTAAATAGCGACGCTCATCTTGCCATATAAGACAAGTGAAAATTTGTGTATGCAATAATTTCGCAAAAATCATTCTGAACCTAACGAAAAAAATATATTTTACTGTGTTTGTTTAGAATTAAATTATTGTAAACAAATCTAAAATATATTTAGTTGGGTTAGGCTAAAATAAATTGTTCTTGTTACAATAAGGTTAGGTAAGTTTTCTAAGATTCTTTTGGTGCAAAATTAAAAATTTTTACATTAACATTAAGGAAAAAAATATATCTTAAAACGTATAAGAGAAAATTTCAGAAAGGACTTAATTTTAAATGAGTTCTTGCTAATTGACCAGTTCTACATATTCGGCATGACATATATATATATATATATATATATATATATATATATATATACACAATCCTCCCTAATAGAGCTAAATGGTTCAGATATGTTGATGATATTTTGTGTCTTATGCCCAAAAATGTAGATATACACCATTTCCTTGGAAAATTAAATAGCTTAGCCCATTCTATAAACTTTACTGTTGAGTTTGAAGAAAATAACTCATTGCCTTTTCTAGATGTTTTAATTATTAAGGGTAATAATGAATTCAAATTTAAAATTTACAGAAAACCTACAAATAACTGTTCCTATGTCCACTATTATTCCTCGCATCAAGATAGAGTCAAACTGTCTGTTTTCTCATCAATGTTTTTGAGAGCTTTATGAATTTGTAGTCCTGAGTTCATAGATGAGGAAATATCCAAAATTTATGAAATAGGTAATGATTTAAAATACCCAAGAAATGTAATTGATAAATCTTTTAAAGTTGCTAGAAATACTTTTTACAATCCAAAAAGGGACAACCAGCCTTATTCAACTAAAAATATGTTGGTTCTCCCTTACCATGAAAACTTGGTTGATATGCCTTCTCTTCTTAAGACTTTTAATATTAAAGTTGTATTCAAAAATCTTGATACAGTAAAAAAAACTTTTGATAAAGAATTCCCCCCATAATGCTGATGGATGTGTCTATAAGATTCCTTGTAAAATTTGCGATAAAGTTTATTACGGTCAAACTGGTAAAAATCTGGAACTAAGATTAAAATAACATAAATATAGCATTAGAACTGGACAAGATTCCAATGCTCTATTTATTCATGTAAGAGATTTTAACCATCCAATTGATTTTCAAAAAGTTGAGAAAGTAGTATCAAGCAAGTCCATGGTCGACAGGAATATAATTGAATCTTGTTTCATAAAAAGCAGTTTTGACAATAATATGAATATTTCCTTTGGTTTATATAAATTAGATCCATTTATAATTAATAGAATTTGGGAAGAATTTAATAATACACTGGACAAATAATAATTTTTAATTTTTTTTGGGTAGAATAGTTTGTGGGTGAGTTGTGCAAAGGACCTATCCAAGTTGGGTCGGCGCGCGTCACGTGTTTAACCGTTGTGGGATCTGATAGTGAGGTGCTGGCCAGACCCCTTATATAGCTTCCTTGCATGCTTTACTTTCATAGTTCCTTGATAATGTGAGTAGTCACGAAAGCGCTTGGAATTTCTCTATTCTTTCAGAGTGGTTGTTTGCA